TATATATATATATATATATATATATATATATATATATTAGAAAGCCTTGATTCAACTGTGCACATGTACCTAATAAAATGACCCCTGAATTCAGCTTTCAGCAGGTTTTACTGAGGAGAAAAACAAAACAAAACAAAAAACAAGAGAGTGGCTGTGAGTCATCATAAATTAAAAATAGAGCAACAAGTCAAATCACGTTTGCACTAATCAGACTATAAAGCAACTAAAACAAGAACTACTTTACTTAAAATGCAGACAACCACTCGATTCGGGAATGAGTCCAAACTTCACCTTTTCCAAACTATCAAACGCAATTCTTTCACAGAAAGAATCCAAACAAAATACAACAACAACAACAAAAAACATGTAGACAAATTGAATGTCAGAACCTCAAAAGAGACAATAACCACCCATCAATAATAAATGCCGACTAGGCAGCATGGGAAGAGAAGAACGTTTGCGAGCTTCAGCGACGCTGCTTTTTTTCAATTTAGACGAGAATGGAGAATGCGCACAAGGTTTGGTCATTTTTTTCAACACGTTATTTTGTGTTGCTTCAAGAGAATCTTTACAAAAAAAACATAGTAACACTAATAATAAGTGTGAATGTGTCTAAACATCATTAATGGCCACACTGTAAGGGGGGGGTACTACAAAGTACAAAATTATGCAAATAATGTCGTCTTTTTATGAGGTGAAATCATCAGAATTTTACATGAATGACATTGCAACGTGACATTACAAAAAAGGAAAAAATGGTCCAAATTTGATGAGGAAAAAGTCAGATCATAACATTCCAAATGTAAACAATCAAGTCAACAAAAAAAAAGCTAATTCCATTCGAAAAACCTCAGAATTATATGAGAATAAGGTTGCAGTATTCTGAGAAAAAAAAATTACAAGACAGTGGTTATTTCCCGAGAAAATTGTTGGCATTTTTACAAGAATAAAATCACCATGTTAAGAAAAGTGGCTGTGGGTTTTTTTTTGGGACAAATCACGAAAAATAAAGTCGAATGCAACATGATTTAACCAAAATGATAATTAACTGATTGATTAAATGACTAATGAAAAAGAAAGAAAGTTGCACACTTCAAAGTCTAATGTTGCAGTGTCACCTGAATAAAATCGTCATATTGTGAGAAAATAATTTCCTCTTGGTCGTCACTATTACTTTGTAAGAGAACGATTTCATGATTTTCAAAATGTATTTTGAGAAAAGAATGCTAAGATTTCAATATTGCAAAAAAAAAAAAATTAAAATTGTATTCATCATCGAAACAATATTCTGAAAAAAAATTGTACCAAAGCGTAACACAAGATATTTGATATTTGTCTTTTACGATATTTGATGGAAAATAGTATTCAAATTTCAAGTTCAAATTTGTTTTACTTCTTATAATATTGAGACTTCTCATAACATTCAGATTTTTTCCATGTCTTTTAAAAAAATTTTTCTTGTCAATTTTGCCTCAGCGTAACAGACGGGAACGGCGGAAATAGTTTTGATAAATAAATGCCCCCTCATCACAAAGCACCTCTCATTCATATGAGACATTCCTAATACTGATAAAAAGAGAGGCGGACATATGGGACGTTATGGACACAAGTGCTGGACTTTTTTGAGGAATGCTCCTGTAATGCTGATGGATTAATGATGTGAATTTATCGGCGCCAGATTTTCTTATATGACATTCACACGGACCAGCGCCACCTTAAAAGCGGGGCACACGCCAACTGATCATCGGGCCAATTTGGTGCATTTTTTTTCCCCCACTACTTTGGATTTTTGTGAAATTGCCAAAAACCAGATTATCGGACCTTTCTCAAAGATTATCCCGTGCGATTCTTCTGCGGTTTGGGGTGTGTTGCAATTTTCAAACTTCACATGTGAATCTTTTGGGTTTGACCAGGAATCAGCCACTGGATGGAATCAGTTGAAGGTTGACCCTTAATTGGCATCTTAAAAATAACAAGGGAAAGTGTATATCAAGTCCCTCAAAAGGGAAATTCTGACATTTGTTTCGAAAAACATCGAACATGTTCGAAGGTAATTGCTGAAGATGTGCAAAGGCTGACAAACGTAATACTCTCGTTTCCGATAATCCAGAGAATTGATTTTTCAGTTTTCTTGACTTTTTGGGCATGGCTGTAACAGTGCCAAGCAAGACAATCAAAATGAACACAAACTAAAGAAATAATCAAAACTAAAATGGATAAAACATTTTCCTTAATGAAATAAAATCAAAAACAAGAATGCTTTTTTTTTTATTGTGAAAGAAAAAAACAAAAACAATAACAAACTATATTTTACATTTATAAAACTACAACTGCAGCAAAAATATCCTTCGTTTTTGTCTTTGGCGACTGATTTCATACATCAGCTTTCGGAGATTATTTGAAATGCATTTCTTTTGGTATTACTGAACGGCCAATCAGAAGAAGGAAGGCTGAACAGTCATTTGGGATTTATCGTTTACTTTACTTTATTACACAAATACTGACTGTGGCCTTCTTTTTATCTTGCACTTGACAAACACTCTCCATCCATCCTCACAAGGGTCGCGGGATGTGCTGGAGCCTATCCCAGCCGTCTTCGGGCAGTAGGCGGGGGACACCCTGAACTGGTTGCCAGCCAATCGCAGGGCACACATAGACAAACAACCATTCACAATGACAATCACGCTTAGGGACAATTTAGACTGTTCCATTAACCTGCCATGTATGTTTTTGGAATGTGGGAGGAAACCGGAGTACCCGGAGAAAAGCCACACATGGCTCGGGGAGAACATGCAAACTCGTATCGTCTATCTATACCAGTGACGTACAGTGACAGGCTGAACATTTGAATGCTCTTCCTCTAGATGGCAGAAAATACAACATTTTTGTTTGGTGGTGAGTCGTGACATTTCCCTCATACGTGCCTTGACCACAGTTGACCACGCGCTATAATAGCAGGTCGAACGCACGTTTCTCCTCACGGCGGGGGATCTCTCACATTTTAAAATTGCGCTAACATGTTCCAAATCAGTATTTGTGTACCCTGTTTTGCATCCTCCATGTTCATTTTATACAAGACACACTCATTCACTCCATTCTGGGGTGAGCCCAGGGGCCAGATACAGTTGATACGCAACCCCTGACACTCATGTTCACACCAACGGACAATTTCGCGTCTTCAATGACCCCAAAATGCATATTTGGGGAATGAGGGAGGAAGCTGGACGTTGGATGAGAAAACA